ACCCGTGGGACTGGGAGATGCCAATGAGAGACTCACAGAGGTAGTATTAGTTTCCAGCCTTGGCTACAAACTAACGGCGTTGACGATCGAGGAATTAGGAACAGAAAACGTCAACGACCCGTTACTACATCAACGCAGCGAGTATGCGCAACAGGGGTGGTGGCCTAAGAACAACAAAATCCCCGATGAGTTCATACTACATAAAGCAACACTAGATAAACTGCCAGTGATAGATGATTGTCTGATCCGTGCTTCGGTATTTATTGCTGCAGGTCAGTTGGTAAACAAAATAAGTGCTTGTGCACATGAGGGACACTCAGGTACCGTTTGGACCAAAAACCGAGCGAAACACTGCTTTTATTGGCCACGAATGGCATCTAGCATTGAGATGAACTATAACGCTTGTTGCCTAGCGGACAAAAGTTCTCTGCCAGTCGAAGCGCCAATACAGCCTATTACCTACCCGATGAAGCCATAGGCTAAGATCGCCATTGAGATTATGGATCCTTTTGCTATCGAATAAGAGAAATCTACTTGTAGCGACATGTTTTTACAGTAAGTGGCCTGACCAAGTGACTACTTCGGTTGTGTTATGCTGGTTTAAACACTTGTTCAGTCGTTTCGGACTACTGAGAGAAAGAGTCACGGACAATGGACTACAATTTTGTGGCCACGACTTGGCAGTTTTCATTCAGTGTCATAACATAAAACATTCCAGTACTGCACCATACAATCCTGCGGTCAATGGCATGGTCGAGCGTTTAAATCGATCCATTAAAGAAGCCATAAAGACCATTCAATTAGGAGGGTCAGAATGGGAAGATGCTGTCGTAAGCGTTGCATTTTTTGTTTACAGAACTTGTGATCACAGGGCTACTGGAAGAATGCCAACGGAGTTGATTTTAGGAAGGCCCTTACGCAACAAACCAAATGCTGAACATAACCTGTTATCCGCGGGAGGCGCAGAAGTTTCACATCGCACAACACTTGACCAAAATTCCTACGCCAGATCATCAACTCCGATGTAGCCTGGAGCATACGTTCGCGTTAAAAAACGAGCAATGGCTAAAGCCCTCCCAGCTCTATCCGCACCGTTGCAAATCATAAAGAGACAAAGTCCAGGAACTTACCGATAGGAAAAAGGTCTAATTGCCAACGCACGTCGGTTGCACATCGCCCATGGATCAGCTACCCAGTCTCAACAAACTAGGTGGGGACATCAAGATGGATCTCCGCTACCGCGAAGTCGGCTTCGCCGGTCCACCAGACCCTCGAAACCTGTCGATCGATAGTAACCTGCATGACGCGGTTCTTCGAAAGGAGTGGTTGTTGTGGCCGATTCATCACTATGTCACTACTCATGTTTCATTGGCTGACTGAAACACAGCAACTTTCTGTTCATTGGTTATGTGAAAGCAGGAAGGTTAAAATGGATTATTCTTTGTTGTGTATTACACCTCGATTGAGTACGGATACACGTCCTGCTTCTTTTGTCGCCTTACTGATACAACAAAGGGCAGTCGCACACCTGCGACAAAATCACTGGCCTCAATTCTCATTCGTCGCCTCACTGCAGAACTGGAATCCCAGATAATGGAAAAGCAGGCAGATTTCCGCCATGTACGGGGCTGTACAAACCATATATCTAGTTTGCGACAGGTGCTAGAGCAGTGCTACACATATCGCAGACCGACAATCGCTGTGTTCCTCGACTTCAAGAGTGCGTTCAATCCAGTCGACCGATGTGTTCTGTACGAAATACTTACGCGGAAAGGCGATCCCATGAAATATGTGAACATATTATGTGCTCTGTATTCGAACACTACAGGCCGTGTCAGGATCTAGGGTGACCAGTCGGATGGCTTCCCAACAACAAGTGGCGTTCGTCAGGGTTGTCCAATTTCTACTTGTTTGTTTAACTTTGTCGTGGACTCGATCATGGAGTGTTCCCTTGCGTAATCTTACGATGCTGGCGTTGAGGTGCTGACTTGGAAATGCTAGTTGATATTGATTATGAGGACGATATCGTGTTGCTTTTAACCAATGTTAGGGTAGCCCAACATAACCTTAATAACCTCTACAGTGGTCTTGTCATTTGGTATGCGCTTTGCATCTTCAAGATGTAAAGCGCTGCTGCAGTACCACCAGAAACTTGATGACCCCTTGATAGCGAGGAACTCGAGGTAACTGATTGCTTCACTTACCATAGCAGCTGCATCAGCAACAATGGGCAAATAACAACTGAAGTCAGCTCACGTATTTCAAAAGCCAGAACTGCCTTCTTGAATTTGTGACAACGTTGGAGACAGAAAGAAGCTTCCCTTCGCCAGAAACGCCATGTTTACAAGGCCACAGCGAAAACCGTCCTGCTTTAGAGAAATGAGACTTCGTCCCTCCGGTTTGAGGATCTGCGGCGCCTTCAAGTTGTGAATCATCGCTGTCTGCGGAGCACTGCTGGTGTTGAGTGACACCAGCATGCCCGCAACGATGATGTGCGTAGGCAAGTATTACGCAGCGACAACCAAGCTAGTTCCTTGGAACAAGACAGCACCGAATAAATTGCGTTAGGTTGGGCCCATACTGCGTATGCCTGGTCACCGCTTACCGAGAACATTGTTTTGTCTGCCAGATGTTGGTGGATAAAGGTTGACTTGGCAGCTGGAAGTCACTGACGACCAAACTGGGTGCCGTTGGTCCGTCACGCCTTCCGGACTGGAGTCCACATGACTCGCCTTGTGCTTGGCTCGAGACTTTACAGGACATCGCTCGCAACCGATACCAGTGGCGCTTCTGCTGCATTCTGTTAGTCGGATTGCCTGTTTAGTGTTTGGTGCTGTTATCTGCAGAGTAACGACTGATTATGACGCGGAGCAGTGAAAGTCGCAAGGAAGCTGTCTCGCCAATGCCGCCTAATCTTTGCATAATAGCCAGCTGTTTGTGACGGTATGTGACCGACAAGGTAACTTGATCCTGAATGTTTGCTTAGGGCACTAAAGTTTTACGGTAAGTCCCATGTGTCTCCCCTTTCTTCTTTTCGCAGGTCATTGTGGCTGTATGGCAGCGAAGCATCAGTTCGGATGACTAATGTACTGCTGTTGATGATAATGACTATCCAGAAAATAACAGTGGCTGTTCTGCGAAGCTGGTGACAGCACACAGATGCCAAAGGTGTCGGAAAAACGGATGAGAATTTTGCGGGGCATCGTGGTAACATCGACACTGTGGCCACAACAGCTATTGAAATAAGTGAACTGATTCGCGACTTCAAATAACTGTACGTTTGGGAACAGTCCTTCACATGCCGAAACGTGCAAGGCTCTGTTAGTCTATCCAGCAACACCAGTATAAAGGCCTGGTCCATGTAAACTCTAGGTCAGTGGGCATAATGTTTCAATGCAGCGGTAGACATGGTCATCCGTGAGCCCTTCCATCACAAGTTCCGATGCCTTTTATTAGTGTTCTAATCGGGCAAGAACCCTCCGTAAATCCGTGGAAGGCAATGAAAGCATAACTAAGTAACAATTAACTTGGATAGCGCATGATTCTCAGATAGCGCCATACAGACACACTATACACGTTAGTTGGAGGTAGGAAACACCTCAGCTACTGTGCCGCAATACCTAAAAGAAAAAAGGAATAAAATGCTACAGATGCAAGCCAGCTGAGCTACCGGAACGGATGGGCATCGTTCCTGTAAGCTATCTACCGGCTAGTACGCAGCAAAAAAGTAAGTTCCTATGCAAACAGACACGCTCGATCGAACCGAAAGCAATCTAAAAACCAAACACAGTAGATAGTCAAGATGTATGAGGTGACGCTGATTTGCCCCAAGAGCTGGGAAACCGCGCTGCAGATGCTGTAGAACTAATCGAGCATCCACCTGAGACCCAGAATTTGCTGACGAACAAGCTATCAGTCCGCACTGGAAATGTCACCACGATAAACAGCGAAACGTCTGCAACCTAGATGATCAACATCCCGATAGCTAAACCGTGCTACCTGTACTTCAAATTATGTGTGGCGCTGTTCCAACACTTTGGAGAGTGTTAATGTTCGATCTTCATGTTTTCTCACTATTCCGAATTAAACACCCAAAAATTTCTCCGCAAAAATTCTAGCGTAGCCGAAGAATAAGCAAAAAATCCAAGGACCTTGATCGCGAAAAACGTGTTAACAAAAACGCTGCCAAACGTAGCCAATAAACGCCGCCAAAAGGCTGTAGGCCAGACCTAAGCCAATTATATATGGGGCTCAGTGACCTTCGGCTTCTAGAAAACAAACGTCAACTGGTATAGTTAGCAGCATCCCTGCCAAAACTCCGTATGCTGGCGACCACGTGAAGGAATGGAAGGCTCCGGAATCTTCGAAATCAATGCAGGATCGAAGATAATCGATTAATTGCTAAAATCATGAGTTTTCCTTTATGTTTTTACCTTTCCCGGATAGCTAAGCTACCCGATACGGGAGGAAAAGTAAAAAAATGTGAAATGGGGCGCCAAATTTAAAAGAGAATCTAGTAGCATTATAACGTTAGCTACTGACGTCGGAGTGATTTCTTGTCTATCAATCTGCGAAGAAAAATGGAAAAAGTGGGAAAACAGAGGACATTAGCAACGGAGCTATGGGGGCAAATGGTATTCACTCGTGGCACACTCTGGGAGACGGGCTTTGATCGCGTCCCATTTATGACCGGCGGAGCTGTGTTTCGCAAATTACTGTATGCGACAAGCTAATGGACTCTACTCTTGCATGCTGAATCCTGTTCAAACATGGTGGAAACCAGTGAAGTAGCGAGTTAGTGCACATCCAGTTGATCATTTATAAAAGAACCTGAGGCACATGAGGCAATACCCTTAGGATATGCAAGCCCTATAAACAAATGTGCTATTTCAGATTATATTTATGAACAATCGGTCCCCTTGTAATAAAAGTGAATAACGAAACGAAGTGTGGTTGCACAAGAAGTCGGAACCAACATCGAGACTGGCAGGAAAACTTACATGTTAACATAAAATCCTCTTGAACAAGCCGTTATGTGGTAGCGCTTATCCTCCAGTGTGTGGAAAAAAAGATAGACTAAATCACCGAGCAGCCGTCTGGATGTTGGTGGTGGGTTCCAATTGCTGTAGTTCAACTGGCGCACACACCGCAGAGGTTTTCCGTCATGCTCTGTGGGATGTAGCGGACTGAGCGGCAGGTCGTGGGGGCCGTTGGAACAATAACCGGGAAGGATAAATTCGGGCGGAGCGAAGTCAATGCAAGAATCAGGACGTGACTTTATACCTTTACGTTCTGTGGCACGGGAGAAAAAAAGGCGCATACACTTAAGAGCCATGAAAAAGGATATTCTTGTATTACCTACGAAAGGAACACAGTAGAAGATCAGAAATGCCCCCAACACTTCAAAATTAGTGCTTTTAATGATGAGGAAACATCGCACTTAAATCGAATGCGTTAAACAGTGATCTAGGTGTCAGAGGACCTGGGACGACCCGATTACAGGTCAGATACATTGCGTGCAATACTAGTTGATCAATACGCTACAAAACGAAAAAAGAATGTTAATCGCCGATGCCGATCTCAAATCTGCTGCAGATGTACTTCGACTCATCTTGAGAAATTGTTCTCACAGAAAAAGCCCAAAAATAGTGGGAGTAGAGTAGCAATCTCGCACATGCAGTCACACGGATTTCAAAAGTAGGCGTTCACAGTGTTAGGACAATAACAAAAGCTGAAAACAATGATCTAATTTAGAGGAACTCAATAACCATCGTTCTTTTAGTGAAAACAACCTATAAGATACAAGGTGACACCATTAATCGTCCGATGGATCACAAGCTGATTTCAGTTTTAAGGACATTCTGGCTTGCGGTCTAAAAATACTACTGACCGACCGTCTTCAGAAATGTCAGGTGGATGCAATGTCTCGACTACTTCGCTCCCAGTAGAAAGAACACAAGGACAGTGCCATAGCTTCCGTCTGAATGGGGCCTGAAGTCAGCCACAATGCGAACGGAACATTGTCAGTAACTACGGAAGCTACAGGAACAGAAACACTGGGATCCGTTAGTAAAGAAGATCGCCCAGCCCCACCGAACTTGCTAACCAAGCTTGCATCCAATGATCGAATCTCAGGAACACTATCAAGAGGAAAAATGGCTGCATCTTATCTTCCGAAAAGGGTCTTACAAGAAAGTGCACTGCGACAAATCAACGTAGCATGCTTCGGAATCAACCAGATGAAGATGATTTCCAGTAGCTAGGCATGAATAATCAGCTGGAGGATTTGGTTAAACGTCGCCACATGTTTGATTACGGTCAATACAAACATATAAGCTTGGTAGGCAATTTCAACAACCTGAACTTCCTGAACGCGGTTCAAAATATTCCTAATGGAAAGCACAACACCCAATTATGCTGGCTTAAAAACGCAGCAAGTCTTTTGTAGGCTAGACCGAATGGAGACAAGCGACAAGTAACGGAACGCAATGCACTTCGACTACATTTAAAAATATTTAAAGATGTTACATATATGATCGTGTGCTCATCGAGGTTCCACAAGAAATCGAACGAGCAAGATTTGTTGGCAGTTTTGAGAGCATCCGGCTCATGTCAAAGGAAGAGAGATACACAGGGATGGCCGAAATAATTCACATCGTTCAATAATCTACGTCAAACCCAACAACGCCGTAGTCTCCTCGGCGCTACATGGCATCGAAGCATCGGCACACAACGTTGGTGTAACGATGACATCTTTCATTTTCATTGTGACGACACCGGGCCCTGACGATGCGATAGTTTGCGTACCCGATGGCTTAATGTAGAAGTTCGCAAACTATCATGGTTGAAAAACATGCGACTGTGATATTAGCCGGCAGCTCGGGTGAACGAAATCGACGCGGGACCGCTAGACAGGACGCCTATGTAGCGCAGACGACGCGAACTGCCTATGATCCCACGGGCCGGGGACAAAGTAGTTCACTCCAGTTAGAACGAGACATGGTTAGAGACGCGGGGGGGGGGCGGACTGGTACGAAAAGTAGTGCGCGTCAATACACCCAAGATGACGAGGAAGGGTGCAATGGCGTCTAACCAACTGAGTGGACGAAGCCCAAGCGGGAGTGAGCAGAATCCGAATCTAGTGACGCCTACATGATCAGACCATAAGTAATCAGGTCAGGCGGACCGTGGAGAATCGGTACGGTTAAATGTGAGCCAACTTCCACGTAGAGCTTGGCAGAGAAGTGGGTTGAACTAAGCGGATGAATAACGCATATGGGCCAACGAACGTAGACATACGGCATAAGACGTTAGGATAAGAAATAGCTAGTAAAAAGCCACAGTGCTCCAAACTTTCGTAGAGTTCCAAGTTTCGTGAATAGCAGCTTTGCGCTCGCTACCCAGACTATGTTCTGATTACTGATTACACGACACGAATTATTCTGAAGTTTGCCTGTTATCCAATATATTGTGCTTCACAATGTGAGCCAGTTAGGGACGAGTGCCCTCAAACAAAACCGGTTTATCCGGGAATGAGCAGCTGGATAGACTGCTGCAAATAATGTCACTCAAACCCTTGTTTTTACGAACTCTTTTCTTGTGTTACCTCACAAACCTAGGGTGTTATTCCACATAGGGTCGTCCAACACTCGCACTGTTAGGGCAGCCAACAGGCGGAAATGTGTCAGAGTTGAAGTGTGATCTCCCCAAAATAAGCACACGGGACAAAAGCGTCCAAATGTGTGTAGCTCTAAACGCAGATGCCAATGGAGATGTTAACATTCTCAATCTACAATGTCGAAGAATTCAGAGCGTGTGTCACATATGGTGCCAAATTGGCTCAGCAGGAGTATGATGAATGTACCCTTGGAACGGATTCCAATAAACAGGCTTCTCTGTACCAGTTGATTGCAAGCCCGATTGGAATTAACACGCAATACCCGACGACACCGCGTTTTTCTGTTGTTTTTGTTTACATCCGCACCGACTGCAGCCCAGAAGTCGTTAAAAACAGATTCTGTTGACAATGCTCTATTCTAACCCGAATGTTCAATGGTATTGGTATCGTGATCGTTGAAGTTGATAAATCGGGTGCATAGAAAAGTTAGAACGCCGACTCACAGTTAACTTAGCAGTAGATGCCTGCCATATTGACATTGGTGTCCACCTTCATCAGTTGTAGGCGGGACATATCTAAATCAGCAACATAGGTGTTGGTATTTAGGTCAATGGTGGCTAAAGAACGACGAACTGCCCTAGACTAACTGGTCGCACTAGCATGGGTTTTGACCAACTTCTGATCCGTTCCGGCGTAGCGCTAACTGTTCACACTTCGATTGAGTGATCAGCTAGGAAGAGGCGTCATCATTGACTGTGTTCGCAATCCATAAAGCAGTAATATCAAACAGAATTGCAACGTTGATCGTCAAGCATGAAAGAAGTTAATGGATTGAGTGCAGGGTAGAATTACCCGAATCAGCGGCGGAAAAATTGCTGAAAGCAACATATCCTTTTCCTGGCAGTTGATTAATAGATGGACCGCCGGAGCTTTGAATGGTGTGACTGAAGCAGGTAAAACGACACCAACTGGATATTAGCTGAGAATAGTTAAGAGTCACGGTACAGGTTAGGAACGTCGACGGACACCGAGAGCCAGTGGGATGGAAGGCAGCACTGCTAGAAACACCAAAGCGCAAGGCTACAAGGAAGGCCTCACAGTGAAATCATGAATGAAAAATGAACAAATGATCCACGCTGTCAAGTCCTCCTGGTGCATCAGAATAACAAGTTAAGTTACATGAAGTTCGATGTCGGCACGAGATAGAGCTGCGATGACGGAACATGGTGCAGCCTGGGTGACCCTCCTTTACCGATGATGAAGCACGGTGGTGACACTTTACCGACTGGCCCAACTGTTGTTGTCTTAGCGTGGTCCAAGTTAGATGGGTTCTCACAGACTCCTAACTGGTGCACCGTGATTTTCCAGAACGTGCGATACTTGGCGAGTAGACTGTAATGGCGATCTGTGCAACCGGGAAGCTCACTGCCCACGCAACACATGAACCCCCATAACCATTTCCCTGACACTTTCATTTTCTCCAGTTTGTTGCTTTTACTCGTGTTGTGGCACTGCCAGTTGTTTATTGGTCAAGTGTTGAATACATAATATAGCGAAGTGAATAGTAAAGTGGACAAAATGACCCGGATAAGGTGAATGTCAAAAGCAGACTACCGAAGTGGACAGTTGTAACGTGACTTTATGTTAAGTGAGTGTCACAGAAGTTGAATGTGTTTATGATCCGGGCGACAAGAACAATGTTCTGCTATGCGAAATAAACGTGTGCTCAGGGCTTATGGGGACATTCCGAAGCTATACACACTTAGCTGTAGTCCACTGCGCACTTCACCCGGAACATGCTGGTCGTTTGCCTATTGATGCAGTTTTAAACTCCGAACATAGTTTCATGGTGGTGTCTGAATTTGGGTTTGCCGAACTGTGGGTTTTATTCGGATTAGTATAGCCAGAACTGCCAACTGTAAGAACAATTCCGAGGATTTATTTGCAACCTTGAACGCGAGTTGCGTGGCACTTTGGTCAGGAATTTTTTTGGAAGCGTTCCCGGTATCTCCTGAAGACCTTGACAGAATGAAAGCATCAATCGATATATCTAGGTGTAGGTTTTGTGACCTCTGTTCTTCGGGCATTGACGACGTAGGTTGTAACTGATTCACATGGTGAATCCATGTTTGTGACCCGAGTTCTATCCTACAAATGACGTCGCCTCACCTTCCAGTGCCTCTTCCTTTTGCCTAATTTGGGGGAGCACCGAGACAGTAATGTGCGAGGACTAGTTGACCGTGTGCGAACAAGTATGGTCATGCCACACCATATCTAACTGGATTGCCGCCTCGTATTATCTTTCTGTTCCTTAGCCTGAGTTTCCAATGATGGTCTAAGTGTCAAATGTTTACAGTTTACGATTTACCAGGGCTTCTAGTGGGGAAAGCTTATTTGGCGTTCGCGGGTCGTATGACGTAATATGTGAACAAAAAACTTTCAAGGATATCCTGCGTCGTTTCCTCCATCGTTGATTTCAGGGTGCTGCGCTCAAAAGTGTGCACAAAACGTTCACCTTGACCGTTTAATCGTGGACGAAAAGGCGGTGGTTGGCACAAATCTTAAAAAATCCGAGGAACATGCTGAGGTGAACTGTCCACCGTTGTCATCCACCAGTGTTTCTGGGCAACTGAATCGGTTGGACAACTGTCTTGGCCTTAAAATTGAGACCCCT